CTAACTAGTCATAAGCTATTACATTAACAAATAGTTTGAAACTTGATTTGCTAAATGATAATGATGATTTACTGAGAGTACTGGCAGTTTTCTAAGTTAATCCTCAAGATGTAGACACAAATATTGCACCAAATTCACAGATGAAGAAACTAAGGTACACAGAAGATAATTGATTTGTCTGCCAACAGTAAGTGGCAGCCCTGGGATTTGAACACACATAGTCTGGCCCACATACTGGCTTTTTAAACCATGCTCCCTCTTATATGATATTGGGCATTGAGACAGTTTAATAGAGGTTTTTACCTTTTCCCCTTCGTGTGTGTGTGTGTGTGTGTGTGTGTGTGTGTGTGTGTGTGTGTGTTGAAGGGAACATAGCCAAATATTCATTTTTAAACTCTGTCACCATACAATGAGTTTTTTTAAAGAAGTAGTTTTTTCCTCACTATGTTTTAAAGTATCACATTTACTTCAAAGGCATAGATTATGTGTTTATCTTTTCAAAAATGTCTGTCAGACAACAGATCACTGATATGACAACCATTTGCAATCAAAGAACAGGGTAGCTAATTTGGAACACTTATCTTTTATTAAAGAAAATTGTGGGGCTCATCTTTAAACTTAAAACTCTTAAATACCTTGGCTAGTAGAAAACCAGCAAACTGTCTGGTGTTTTACAGTATTGGAATTTCTTTTGCCTTAGTGACTTGTCTTATAAGAGAACCCTGTGCTTCTCGTGATTTCCCAAGGCTTGGTCCATTTCAGGCATTGTATTTTCAGCTCTAGAATTCAATTTGATTCTCCTTTACATCTTCTGTTTCTCTCCTCTCCTTATTATGTTCATATTTCTTTTCTTTTCTTTTCTTTTCTTATTGCAAATTGAGCCCAGGGCCTTCACACTGAGTCATATTCCCCAACACTTCTTTCTGTTTGTTTGTTTGTTTGTTTGTTTGTTTGTTTGTGTTTGTTTGTTTGTTTGTTTTTATCTTGAAACAGAGTCTCACCAAGTTACCAGGCTGGCCTGGAACTAGTGATCCTCCTGCCTTAGCCTCCAAGAGTGCTAAGGTTATAGGAGTGTGCCACCATGCATATTGTTCTTTAAATCCTGGAGGTCAGGCCTCCTTTGTGACCACTTTTCCTTTACCAGCTGCCTCTCTTCACTGCAGCCACCTGCCTTCTCTGTGCCTTGAACATGCCATGTTTTCACTCAGCTCAGGCCCTTTGCACTGGCTGCTGCTGCTGCATAGAGCAAATGACTCTGCTCACCACCCAGCTCCCTGTCCCAGGGGACCTCCAGAGCCTTCCCTGTTAATTTGTCTCAGGGATCCACCCCTTCTTCCTGGGACTCTTGAGTCTGTGCACCCTGTTTTTTCTCTGCCCACTCAGCAGTACTTGAAGATAATTGTCTTGTTGGTATTTGCTTCCTGTCTCTCTCAGTTCACTAAAGCTTTTATAGAGCTACACCACCAGTCCATGACAAGCCTTTGCCAGTAGATTTTGTCCTGTCCACTCCCATGTTGTCTCAGTACCTGGAATGGCCCTGATGTCAGAACATGCACATCAGCCTCCAGCTGAACTATTCTTTGGGCCATGCCTGTTACTCCCTGCTCCTTGCTCCCCTGCCCACCATTTCCCTCATAAACTAACTGCCCACAGTCTCCATCAAGTCCAAATTCTACTTATCCATTAGCAAAACCACTTACATATCACCTCAGGGCACTACTTTGCCTGGTTTATCTGTCTCTCACCCCTCTGGCCTTTAGTATGGCCTTCTTGCTTTACCTTTGTTGTTTTATATACCTGGTTTACCTCTCATGTGAGGCTCATGGTTCCTACTAACTTCACCAAGATTTCCCAGAACACATATTCACTTAGGAAATGCTTGCTAAATTAATACTTGAAAAGATAGAATTGGCTGCTGGTTTGGGAAACAGAATTCTTAATTAGAGTTTTGCTTACCTGTTTGCCTGGGCAGTGTCCTTTCTCTCTCTGTCCCTGGGTGAGATGCCAGTGCCTGACACATTGCAGCACCCCCCCCAGCCTCTCTATGATGGCTGGAAATAATGAGATAATGTTACACACACTTAGCAAAAGGTGCTGAATAAATACAGGTGACAGTATTGTTGTTTGTTATAATTATGTTCTTTGAGTTCTGGGTATATAATGAGCTACAGTAATACCTCAGAGAATGTTTTAGGAATTAACTGTTAGATGACTATAAAACACTGCAAGTTTGTCATGGAGCTAGTAGCAAAGCCTGTTGAATTAGAAGATATCGGGAAGACAGGGGTTACAGAAATTTTGTGTGTTCCTCTTTTACATATGGGTGTGTTCTCTTGCCTCCCCCAGACAACTCCTTAATTGAGCTCTAAGATGGAAGCCTTCTGACATGCAGCATAAGACCTAACAATACTTGTTGGGGGTTTAAATGGCATTGGAAATCATTAACGAGACAAAAAGTTATGATTTCCCCAGATTAGCATGCAGGTCGGGGTTTGGCTTGCTGAAATTCATTGTTTTGGTCTCCAGCCCAAACATGCTAGAGTCATTATATTGTCATGTGGTAATTAGCTGTTCCTTTAATACAAGTAATAAAAATTAAGCCTAAGAGGTACTTTAGCAATGCTTTTTACATATCCCAAAACAATATTCAAATGCTATAGGCATTTAAAGTCATTCAACTGCACACAGTAAAGTTGGAAGCTTAATGTATAGAGATGTTTGAGTAATCAGTCTCTTCCTAGTTCTGTGACCAGTTTTGCTACTTCGGCATCGACCTTTAATCATGTTCAATTAAATATAGATGTCATAATGAGTAATTAGGAGATTGCCTAGATTCTCATTTACAGTATAACACTTTGGAATTTTGTCCATAGGCCTAGTTACTATTCACTTGATAATGTGCGTATAATTTTTATGTCGCTGAATTCCTTACAGAATTGCATAAAGGAAGTTATTTTCTCATCCAAGTAGACATAGTGGGTCCTGGCCTTTAAAAAGGAATGGGCTGGACATGTTGACAGGAATTTTAGGGCTGGAATGCAATATACCAGCTTAGTTCTTTAAAATTATACTTGGTACTAGCAGTTATGCAGGAACGCCAACATGAGTGGATGTTAATAAAATTCTCTTTGAGTGCAGTGGCATGTCTGGCCTCTCTTATCTGCCCTCTGAATCAAGTTCAAATTGTAGCTGTATGTGGGGGCAGCTGTGGACATACAGCTCATTTCCTTCAGATCATTTGCCCAGCACGAGGCCATGGAGGTAGGGAAGGAGGCACAAGAAAGTTTCCCTGGAAGATACTGAAATTCCAATCTAAAAATAACAATACCAGCAAAAAAAATAACTGCACCTGAAATGTTCTGACAATTCCATTTTTCCTGTTGTTACTGCTCCTGAGAGCCATCTCCCAAAATTGCTTTTGAAATCTAATTTAACAAATATTTTAATGTTGATTAAAATAGTAATGAAAAGCCATAAAGGAGAAGATGACACAGTCAAAGATTATGTACTACAGGCGCAGAAGAAATGGCCAGTGGGCAGGGCTTTTGCATGATGGACCATGTTGGCATCGAACCTGGCACTCGGCTCTGCTGACTCAAGCTGACGCAGCCCAGTGCCACCTCGTGTAAACTCTGTAGAGACATTGGCATCACAGAGAGCTCCTGGCTCCTACCAAGGCCCAGATCTCACTTCCAGAAAGCAAGGGTGGTCTGAAAAATTAATGGTTCTGGCATCGGAAAATTAAGTGAGCTCTTGAATATATACCCTTGTTGATCCGCCGTGCATGGTGTTTAGCATTCCACAACAGGAGACTAAATCACCACAGCCATCTCACAAGTGAGACTGGCGCCCATGCCAGAAACATGTTCAGTAATCTTTCCAAGCCCAGCAGACTTGAGTATTCTTCTGCTCTGATGGAGCCTGAGAATTCTTAGGAAGTGCTCTACTGGTGCCCAGCAAGTGGATTATAATGCTTCCTAGGCAGCAAGAAAAAAAAAAAATGAAGATTGAACAGACACAGAAGAACATTTAATGTCTGTCTGTCTTCTGCTGAATGAATGGTAAACCAGAGGCCAAGAGTCAGCCCTGTAAATTGCATGCCTGTGGTCTCCATCTTCAGATTAAAATCTGCTGTTAAGGAACTCTGATGGCAGATACGCATTCAGTTGGTCACAAGACTTCACAGAGCTGGCCCAGCTGCTGTCCTGCCCTTTCTGTTATAATCAGGACCTTGGTGACCTGGCTGGCCAGACTGGGCAGCTGCCCACCCCTGATTGTTCTCAGCATCAGTAATGGAAGGTGGTGATAAAAAGTGATCATATTCAGAAATAGGTGGCCCCCTCTAAAACTTGAGGGTCTCTCCTCTCTCTATCAGCTGGCCTTCTTTGTTGTGAAGAATGGTCACTTGGAGCTAGCTGACTTGGGTCCACTTTCTCTATGCGTACAAACTAGCCAGGCAGCCCAGCCGTGGGCCAGTCCCACCACATCCCAGAGCTTTGGTTTCTTTTCTGTCCCATGTCCCTTTTCCCAGTGCTGTGCAACACAAATGAGAAGATCTTCACCACCACCCAAGTGTTCTGTGAACATTGATGCTTCCAGAGTGTCAAGTGTCCCTTCCAGCTTCATGAAATGACTGAAGACTTTAAGCTTATAGGCACCTATCTAAGCATAGGTCTAGGCAGTCGAGGATTTTTTTTTTCCTAGGGCTCCTTCCATTTCCGCCCACAAAAATCATTAAAGCATTGTACCATGCCAGAGAATTGGCAACTACCAGTGATTCCCAAGGCCACCCTCACCCAATTTTCACACATTGAGCATCTGGGGTGGGTCTCTCCTTTGTCAAACAGCACAGAAGCCCGTACCTGGCTAGTGGTCCAGGGCTCTGTGGGAGGAGGCAATGCTCCGGGGGAGCCTGCAAGAGGTGGCATCCTGGGCACCCAGGAGGTCACTTCCAGCCTCTCCTCCCATAGTAGGCTGATGTGTGCTCTCCTGTTGTACAGACCCGGTGCCAGCCCTGGATCTGGGGCAGCAACTGCAGCTCAAGGTGCAGCGCCTACACGACATCGAGACGGAAAACCAGAAACTTAGGGAAACTCTTGAAGAATACAACAAGGAATTTGCCGAAGTGAAAAATCAAGGTTGGTGGAAAGCATGTTCCTTGCTTTCCTTTCTCCCTGTTTTGTTTTGTTTTTTCCTTAATTGTCTTCCCCATACTGTTGAGACTAGCTCTAGTTGTTACCCACGTCATGAAGCCAGGGTGGGGCAAGACAAGAATTGTTTAAAGAGAGATAATGATAATCCTTAGCTGTTTCAAAGTCAAACTTTTCCTCTGCACAATAACTACATATGATTTTATTGCCCTCAGACGAGGATGATCAGGATTCTTTGAAAATTCCTTCTGTGTCATCATGTGATAGGATCTGCCTTTTAAAAGACTGATGTGTTGCCTCCAGGCGACACCTGTCAGAAAACCAGTTCATGATCAAAGGGTCACACACAGTAAGTCATTTAGTAATTGCTGCTGATCCATTAAGGCTCCAGACAAGACTCATCCTCACAGGTTGTACACTTACTGCTCGTTCCTGTTGTCGGCCTTACCTATTCATTATGTGTTCCTGAAAGAAAACAGCCTCTTGGTGTGGTTGCCAGCATCAACAACACAGAGAGGACAAAGGTGGCCTACCATCTCCTGCCAGGGAGGAACAAAGAGGTCTCTCCTTAACCTAAAATCCAGATGCGTACCAAATCCCAGAGCCTCCTGGCTTTTCTGTGTCAAAGAAAAATCATAGCCTCTCTGACCACACCGGCAAGTTCTTCAGCCAACTCCCCATCACAAACCAGCTAGTGGCTTTACGTATGGGGACATGGGTAAGGAATTGGGTAGAAAGGGGTGGCAGCCATTTGGCTGGTCCTGTGTGTGGCCTCCAATTTAAGATTTAAGGGGCTGATAAAAAGCTATGAGATACAGGTCTGGGGATTTAGCTTAGTGGTTCCACTGCCTGCCTTGCTACCTCTCAAGCACAAGGACCTGAGTTTGATAACCCCAGTACCCCCCAAAAAAAGAAAAAAGAAAAGAAAAAGGCTATGAGATACAAATTGTTGATTATGCAAGCAAATCCTTTGGCTTTGAGACTATCATGGAGTCAGGAGGAGGGAATGGCTGTGGAAGATCCAGAGAAAGACTGGGTCATGTGTGAAGAGCCAGAAGGTATAGTCTATGAAAGCAGCATGTCCCAGGGACCTTTTCTCAAGGGTCTCTGAGCATGTCCCCTCTCTTCAGGCATTAATGTGCTGAAACCCTCAGGCTGCTGGGGTTGGGGGGGGTGCCTTACTGGAGGTAGAGAACATAGGGGACAGGAAATTTGGTGCGGGGGAGTCAGCCCAGACCCTACTTCTGTCTGGCTCTACAGAGAATATTCATTTTTAGAATCTGTCAGCATACAATGAGTTTTTTGGTGAGCTTCTGGGACCTGAAGGCACAGTTTTGTCCTATGTGAAAATGAGGCATTGGGCTATTAAGCTGTGATCCTTCTGAAAGAAGGCTTTGCCTTTCCTAATAGGAATTATTTCTTGTTAGCTTTGTCCCAATACCCAGGTGACAGGTAACCTATAAATGGGCACATGTGCTTTGCACAGAGAGACTACATAAAGGCAGTGTCCTTTGGACATCTAATTTTGACAGCCCCACCCTCGATATTTATTGAGCTTGCTGTTGTGTGTTAGAGGTTACAGCCAGGACCTGCAGGACTGTATGGGATTTTCCTTCCTCTCACCCTACCTGGTCAGTGCCTCTATCCCCAGCACTGACCAGGAACCCACCAGAGCCAGGGCTGTTCCTGCCCCAGAGGCCTCTTGCATGTGCTTTATAAATGAACACAGTCCACAACTTGGGAACAAGGCCCTGAAGGCAGACAGGCTTGGTTTGAGTCTCTTGGTGGCTACCACCTCACCATGTGGCCTTGGGTAAGTCATCTTGCTCATTAGATGCTCATTGTCTTGGAGACACTTCTCTACTTTCCAGTAGGGTGGTTGTGGGATGAAGTGGGAATAGTGTATATAGTACTCAGCACTCAAGAAAGTTTGACTGCTTCTTTTGTGTGTGTATGTGTGAGACAGGGTCTTGTTCTATAGTTCAGGCTAGCCTTGAGCTCATTGGGTAACAGGCTGGCCCCAAACTCCCAGCAGTTCTTCTGCCTCAGCCTCCCAAGTGCTGGAATTACAGGCATAAGCCACCATGCCTGACTCAGCTGCTTCTTGAGCATTGTTTCTTTGCCAGAAATTTTCCCTTTGTATTGATTACCAGTTTTTCCAGTGTCCAGAAAGATGTTATTTTTCTCGCCTGTTCTTCCCAGCATAACACAGTCACAATTTGGAAGGGCAGGGGTTGTACATCCTTTGTTTCCATCATCACAGCAGCAGTGAAGATGGTCCAAGAGTCAGAATGTGGAGGAGCTTCTGAATTATGTGCACAAACCCCCACTAGAGATGAGTGAATTGGGGCTCTGAGGGTGGTGAGTGAGTGCCAGCATGTCACTGTCTTCTGCCTCATCACCCCCTCCCGCATATGGCTAGGGACTGCATATGGCTAGGGACCGCATATGTACAGACACAGAATGTCTTAGATGCAGATCTGGGCAACAGAGGAGGGTTGCAGGCTGCAAGACAAGTTGGCCCCTAGCTTGGCTTGCTTGGCAATGAGCAGCCCTCAGCAGTAAAGACACCGTATCAGGCACAGACCCCGTGCCTCCTGGAAGGATCCCAGGTGTATTTCAGTGATGGACCTCACTGGAACTGTGCCAAACCCTGTGGCATCAGGATTTCAGCTCCTACAACAACACTAGTTCCAGGTGTGTATGTCACATGCATTCCCACAGACACTGGTGGTCCAAGAGGGAGCCCATCCTCTAGGCCAGGAACACCATGCAGCATGGTGGGTAAAAGGCAAGGGCTTCTTTAAGAGAAGAGACTGACCTTTCTCATTAGGTTGGAGCCCAGTGCACTCTCCTTATACAGAGAAGACAAAATTAAAACCCATCATCCCCTTAGGCATTTAAGGAAGAAATGGGCCTGTCAGCCTTTTCAGTAGCCCTGTAGGGCCTAGAAGAAATGATCTGTGAGTACAGTGGCGCATGACACATCATTCTCAGGCTGTACTCTAGGGTCAAAGTCAGGCAAGAACAGGACAATGCCATAATGCCAGCCAGTTCTACCTGAAAGCACCCGCATCCTCCTTCTAGACCAGGTCAGCATGATAGTGAGGGCAAGCAGCACTTGCGCTCTATGTACAGCTGTGCCATGGAAACATCTTTGCAGCACTGTGATGGAGCACTCATGACAGTGGAGAACTCACAGTGTGACCCTGGCTGAGCCCTGCCTCTTTGGTTCATTTGTGCCGCAGCCCTTCCTAACCTATCTCTGCTGGGTGCTGGGAATGCAAAAAAAAAAAAAAACAGCCCAGCTTTCTCAGAGAAGTATCCATAAGCAGCAGGAAATGGTCCCCAAGAGCACCACTTTCTGGGGGTTTGGGCCACAGTGCTTAAAGAGCAGGGAGCAATATCTGTGGAAAATGTGCAATGGGGTGTCCTGCCCAAGGGCACCTGAAGATCAGAGACAAGACCTGCTCTGTGCATTGCTTTCACCTGGTTTGGGCAGTTGGCGTGCCTGCTATCACCATGCAGGAGAAAGGAGCTGTGGGGAGCCATGGAGGGTGCAGGCTTTCCCAGGCTGGACTACCTGCTGAGGGATCTCATCTGTCAAGCACCAACTGTTGCAGGAATCACTGATGTTCCAGTGCACCTGCCTGAGTTCCTAGCTCTCACTCCTGGCTCCAGGACATTTCCTGGCCTCCTTCCAGTCACCTGAATGTCTCAATCCAGGCCCTCATCATCAGTGTATCCACACAACCCATTTCTGCCAGAGACTGTGGCAGAGAGCACCCAAATTCAAGGATGGATCCCCCAGCTGACAAAATAGCACTCTAACCATTTAGTCTTCACCTTCTCTATCCCTTGTAAAATTGCAAAGGTGTGCCTGGGCCAGAAGACCCTGTAGACTCACCTGCCTCTACTTCCATAAAGTGCACATGATTATGAACTTTTCTCTTTGTGAGGAAGTAATTAAACCCACACTAAAACTTTATTAATCTTCCCTCAATAGAGAACTAATTTAAGACTCATCAATAAGATTATATTATGTTTACTATTGATTTTCTCCTTTTTAAAAAATCTGTTAGAGAAACTCAAGCCTTCCTTCCCAGCAAAATCCATTGACACCCCCCACCCCAGTCTGAACGTTGCAAGTTCAATTTAACATTTAGGGAATAAAAGGTCTCTAAAGGGACGTATAATCATTGATTTTGTGTCGGCATGGAGGAGCTCAAGTTTGAACCATGCAGCTCCTCCCAGGTTCCAAGAGCCTGATGCAGACAGCCACACGGAACTGTGCTTCTTACTGTCGGGTTTTCTTTCTTTCTTTATGCAGAGGTTACGATAAAAGCACTTAAAGAGAAAATCCGAGAATATGAACAGACTCTGAAGAGCCAAGCCGAGACAATTGCTCTCGAGAAAGAACAAAAGTTGCAGAATGATTTTGCAGAGAAAGAGAGGTAAGCGTGGGTCCTGCTGCTCTCAGAGTGGTGTGACATTTTACCTCCAAACTTGACAAGTTAGTTACAAGACAGTTTAAAAGTATTCCTATGAATCAGCCAGATTGTACACAAAAATCTCCAAGGCTCTAGGCAAAATTTTGCTTGAAATTTTAATGATCCCTTGATCGTTAATTCATGAATGAGCTCACCTTGAGTGTGGTGGACTGGTCCTTCTCTAGTGACTGATAGTGTCCAGCCGTCAGGGAACAGAGGATGTCTTTTGAAGCCCCTCAGGTTCAGAAGTTAGCACAGGCGTGTGGAGTTAACAAGTTGGTACCTGTGGCTGTGCTTTACCTGAGACAACAGACTGGTCTTCCAGACACATATCCTCTGTAGGGAAGCCCTGGGCTTATACTGAACTTTGTGAATTCTGATGTCTGTTAGCACATATACACAAATCTTAGTTTTCTGTTTTGTTTTGCCTCTGTTACTTCACAACACTTCGTATATCAAGAAATCCACACAAACTGGGCATCTCTGATCTGAAAATCTAAAATGTTCCAAAAAGATTTGGGTTTAGCTCAGTGGTACAGTGGGTACTTAGCATGTATAAGACTAAGAACTTAGTGTGTTCTTTCCCAGAACATACATACACAAAAGTTAAGGATAGTTGGAATATTTCAGGGTTTGGATTTTTGGATTAGGAATGCTCAACCAGTAACCTCTATGTAAATATCCCAAAATACACTGAACTCCAAAGTCTGGAACACTTGGGATCCTCCCTCCAGCATTTCATATGAGGGGTATTCAGCCAGTGTAAGTGAATGTGCCATCTAATGATGTTTAGGTATCCAACAGCTTACTTTACCCAAAACTTTTCCTGCAAATGAGTTGGTTTTTCACTGGTGTGATTATTTTATGAAAAATTTCTTGTAAAAACTGTGAGGATTCTTGAGCTTGCCAATTCCAACTCTGTCAGTTTGGATTTTTAAAACTGGTTAATTTGGTTAGCCATCTTTGGTTGATTCAAGATATTCAGTGTTAGTGTTAGCCCTGGCATAAAGAAACTCATGTTAACTTTAACAAGAAGATCTAAATTTATAGGTAGGGGTAATAGGTCAGGTTTGGGCATGAATGACGTGGAGTTTTGTTGTGACTTTAGCACAACATCACTTGGACTTCAGTAAGATGAGCTCCATGGAGATCTCAGGAATTGAGGCTGAGGTTATAGCATATTCAGTGCCCTCGTAACAATCCCCAGCAGCACCTCCAACAACAACAACAAAACAATTGAGGTATCTTACAAGGTCTTTAGGGAGTACTAGTGTGGTTTAAAAAAAAGAGGAAATGCCAAGTTCCACTCACCCAAATCCCACTTGGCATCATAAACTTGCCAACCACTCAGTACATTCTCTCACTGAGTGGCCAGGATAGATCTGCACCATCTCACTTTACAAGAAGAAAAGTAAGCCACAGGCTGGATACCTGCTAAGCTTTTGCAGCTAATAATGAAGGTCAGGGCAGGACTGTGTGACTCCAGACCAGGTCCACCCAGCCAATACAGCCACTGCCTCAGTCATTATGGCCTCACTGTAGGAGGTGGCTTCCCAAACCTGAGTGGAGGCTGCATGCACCCCACCCTGCCAGGAGAGTGTGGCAGGGCACACACACCCCCAGAAAAACAGTGAGCAACACAGATGGGGTCCTAAAGATGACCGAGAAGTGCTCCTAAATAAGTTCCCCTTAAGAAAGCACTCTATTTCTAAAGAGATTTTTTTCACTATGTTACTGACAGCTACGGAAAAATACAAGCTATCTAAATGTTCTGCCAAGAAAGGGGTAAGTAAAAGGCAGTCTCTAACTAGAATGTTATATAGCCATGAAAATCATAGTTGTGAGGAATTCACAATAACTGGAGAAAAGTATCCAATATAATATCAAGTGGAAAATGCACAAAGCAGCATTGCATGCAGTGATTTTCCCACAGTAAATTCACGCATCGTAAGTGTGGAAATAAACTTACATGGGAACTCAGTATTATTCTGTGGACTTTTCAAATTAGGTAAAAGGAGTGATTATATGAAAAGATATGAAAGCCGGGCATAAAGGCACATGCCTGCAATCTCACCTACTGAGAAGACTAAGGCAAAAGGATTTCAAGTTTGAGATGAACCTGGGCAGTTTAGCGAGACTGTCTCAAATAAGATCTGGGGATATAGTTCAGTGCAAGGCCAGATACCACAAAAAATAAATAAATAAGAATGACTAAGCCAGACATGGTGGCACACACCTGTAATCCAAGCACTTGGGAGGCTGAGGCAGGAGGATCACTGAGTTCAAGACCAGCCGGGGCTACATAGTGATGTTCCAGGTCAGTCTCACCTACGTAGTGTGACCCTGTCTCAAAAAACAAACAAACAAAAAAAAAAGGAATGACTATTAGGAAGGGAGGGTAAAGTTAGGTCTTTATTATCTCATTCTTGATAACAAAATACGGAATTGGACACAGGATTTAAATATGAGTAGTTAGATGAGGATGTAGCTCTGGTAGCACTTCCCAAGCATGTGCAAGGCTTGGGGTTCAGGCTTTATCAATGCAAAGTAATAATAATGATAATTAATCACATACCCAAAAAGCTTGGGTTCATATTTTGATTTTAATAATTTTGGAGTAGGAAATCTAAGCATACAAGAAAACTGATATAGGTAAGACTAAAAAACAGTTTTTGGTTTTTTGGTTTTTTGTTTGTTTGTTTGTTTTGTGGTACCAGGGATCAAACTGAGGTCCTTGTGCTTGCAAGGCAGGTGGCAGAACCTCTGAGACAAATCCCTGGCCCAAACAGATTTTTTTTTAACAAATAAAAATAAAGTTTTAAAACATCAACAAGTTGGGAAGGAACATTTGCACCACATAAAGACAAAGGATTAATTTTCTGTATGTGCAAAGAACTCTTAAAAATTGATAAGGAAAAATAACACCTCTACCAAAAGTAGGCAAAGACAATAAGAAAGCATTTTCTATAGAGGAAAGCTCAGCTTTACTTAGCAGCAAAATATTAAGTTTGATTTTATCAATGTTGGCAGGCTGTGTAAAACATTCGTAACATATTGTTGGCAGAGTTTAAATTAGTAAGGCTTTTTTGTTGTGAAGTTACTCATTATATATTAAAAAAACAAACTGCACAGAGCCTTTGACCGTTGTAATTCCTCTTTTAGGATTTTATCCAACAGATTACTCTCAAAATTATGCAATAATATCTCCAGAATGATCACTGAGATAATGTTTAGCAGAAAGAAACTGTAAACAATTTTAAGTGTCCACAGAGGTTTCATTAAGTTAGTTCTTTAATAAAGAGTAAGGGATAGCTACATATGCTGGAGTAGAACATTTTCAAAATATGGAAACAAGTGAAAAACTCCAGAATGGTGTGTGTTGTGAACCAATTTATAGCAAGAAAGAGTGGATAGGAGCTTGTGTTAATTACTTTTCTCTCATTGCTGAGACAAAACATCCAACACCTAAAGTTGGAGGGGAAAGGGTTTATTTGGCTTACAGTTGGTAGAGGTTTCAGTCCATAGTTGGCTGGCTTCAAGACAGGGATAACAGGCCTCACAGAGGAAAAACAACATGACACACACAAGGTAGCAAAGGCGCCAAGAGAGCCTTAACAGCTCCTCCCTGCATCTTCTATCTTGTGCAGGTTACTTAGGGTGGATAAGTAGTACTCACACACTCAGTCCTAGTGCCCTTGAGCCTAACATTGCATCACAAATCAATTCCAGCTTCACACACATGACACTCATGGCTACATGAGGCTTTGAGGGTACATCTAGACCCAAAATATAACAGAGCTTATATTACATTGTGATATATTACATATTAGTGTACATTACACTGTAGTATGTTACATATTATTTTATATTTCACTCTGGTTTGTTACATGTTTGTTTATATTACTGCTGCAGTATATTATGTATTAGTTTATATTTCCTATGATATGTTACGTATTAGCTTACATTAGACTGTAATGTGTTACTTATTTGTTTATATTACACTGTATTTCTGTACATACAGAAACATTTTGGAAAAATACAAAAAGTCTGAGAGTGGAAATGAAACCAAGGAGCTTTCCAAGTGCTTATAAATTTTGACTTTTTAAAAAACTCTACACATCTATTAGTTTTATATTTGAAATACATGAAGATTGCTTTTTCTATGGGTGATAGAGATTGGGTGACTTTTTAATTGTATCGTTTCTCCTTTTCCATGTTTCAGGTTTATTATGTTGAGAGCATATGTTATATTCATGTGATGTAAAAATAATAAACTTATTTTTGGGGATTTTCTGCTAATTAAGAGAAAGTTATGCTGTTTACTGATCAAGGAATTCATTTGGAGATCATGGGAAATATAAATATGTGTAATGCAGTTGGAGACACCCCGAATCTCCCCCTTCTGTATTGCACTTGCATTTGCATGCCATTATAACAGAGCTGGGACAGCTGTCACATCTCTTTAGTACATCCTTTATTCCAACAAATTCCTTCTTTGTGTCAGCAGAATGTAAATGTATCATTCTTCTCCGGCTAACTTCAGAAACAATGAGTGTGTGATGATGATATTTTTTTCTTTTTAATATCTGGCATCTCAAGAACAAGTGACATTTAAGATAACCTTCCGCACCAATCACTGCACATCAAGACCTACAGAATGCACACTTGAGGTTATATAACATGAGGTTACAGCGTTGGGGTGCAGGAGATTATGAGCGGGCCCAGGGCACATAGGGCATTGGGAGCCATAGCCAATTGTGTACCTGCTGCCAGCCGTGCCTCTCAGAGAAGAGAGGGGATGGTCAGAGCTCTGGAGTGCCCAGTGAAGCTCCTTTGTTAAACATAGTAACCAATCTGGCGTTCTGCGCTTTCTTTTCAGAAAGCTACAGGAGACACAGATGTCAACCACCTCAAAGTTGGAAGAGGCCGAGCATAAACTTCAGACTCTGCAAACAGGTTTGATGCTCTTCATCCTAGTCAGGTTGATGTGGGGAAGGCTGAAGTGGGTGCTCATGGTCAGTTTCCTGGCCTGTCCAGGTGCCCTTTGCCACCTGTTGCAGAGCCAAGGAAGCCCATGCTGCAGAATTCCTTCTCCAGCCCTCCTGGCTGCTGCACCTGATTCCATTAGTCATGGCATTGAGTTGTTAATGTGGAGGTGGGAGGATCTGCTTGCCATTTCCATCCCTTCCACAGCCATCCTCTATTCCTGCTCTTTTTTCCAACAAACACATCTAAATCACCAAACTGTCAAGGACTGACATTTCATTTGGAACAATAATAGGAGATGGGAAAAAAAAAAACCTTATTTCTACCCTGAGTGAAGTTAAAGAGAACAATAATAGCAGAACCTTTAAAATTTAAAAGTTAACCAAAAAAGGTTATGCTAAAGTTTCTTTAAACTTATTTTATCTTTCCCTTCCCATTTTCTTCCCCTGAACAGGAAGCAGCACTATAACTTTAATTTAAATGAGAAAAAAATTAGAAAATTTCATAATCCAAGTTAAAACACAAATGACAGAGGAGGAGAGAAATTACAACCAATTTAGCAGGTTGATTATATCCAAAAATTAAGGACAAAGCTAGGGTGTAACTCTGTGGTGTGGTGCTTGCCTCGCATATACAAAGCCCTAGGTTCCATCCCCATCACTGGGGGCGGGGGTCTGAAAACAAATAAAAGAGCCCAGTAGAGTAATGGGCAAAGGATAGGAACAAGCAGTTCACAGAAGAAATATGAATGACTAATACACATAAGAAATACATAAAACACTAAGAAAAATGCCAACAATTAAATCAATGAAAGATTGTTTTACCTACCAATCAAATTTATGCATGTATGAATATAGAACTGGGATTGAACCCAGGGCCTTCGCACTGATAAAATCCCCAGCCCAACTCCTCCTCAACCTCCTGGAGTGCTAGAATTACAAGTATGTACCACCATACCATACTGAGCTCTGGATTTTTTTTTTTTAACTTAGAATACCCAGTGTTGGTGAAAGTAAAGGAAAATGTACCCAATCATGGTGCACATGGGAGTACAAATTGCCTCCTGGGAAACCAGGTGGGTGGTATTCATGGAGAACTTGAATATCAGCTCTTTAGCCAGCAGCCGCACATCTAGTTATCCTGAAAGCAGAGCTCATTTTTACTAGTATTGCTTGTGTCCTCACATGGAAAGGTTACTGCCCTACATCAAGGGAGAAGGGCAAATCTCCAAAAATATTCCTAACATCCCCATTTATTGGAGGAAAAGGGTGCATAGTTCTGCAGAGTAGGTGAGTTCTGAGACAAGTGTCACTGAGGGATTTTGAAATGGTGTAGATATCATCAGATGCACTCACATACCTCAGTGACAGCAGGCCAGTCACTTGTCGTGGCCTCTTGATACCACTGAGACACCATGAACACAAGATAGATGAGCCTGCGGCTAATGTGACTCAGCGCACTCTTTCCCAGTAATTGTTTCTGGGTTGTTTTTCGTTTTGTTTTGTTTTTTTGCATAGGGTGGAGTGTATTTGGTGGGCAGTCAGTTCACATACCTGTAATCCCAGTACTCTGGAAGGCCAAGGCAGGAGGATTGAAAGTTCAAACCCAGCCTAGAAAACTTAGCAACTTAGCAAAACCCTCTCTCAAAACAACAGAGGCTGGGGGCAACCCACTTTCCAGACCCTCTCCTGTATCTCAGACAGAAGCTTTCTTTCCCTCAATAAATTTTTCCTACTCTTAAAAAAAAGAACACAGGCTGGGAGTCTGGCTCAGTACAAAGGCTGTGGGTTCAATCCCAGTATCACCACCACCACCACCAAAAAAAAAAAAAAAAACTAGTGCATTCTAAAATAATGATAAAAAGTGCAGTATAGTAAATATGTAAACCAGTAACATAGTCATGTATCACCGTGTTCAAGTATCGTGCACTATGTGTAATTGTACATGCTGTACATTTGTGCAGCTGGCAGTACAAGGGTTTGTTAGACCAACATCCCCACAAACTTAAGAGTAGTAGATGGTGCTGTGATGTGAAAACAGTTGGACAACCCTGGTGAATGGGGACTGTCCACCTCTGTTCTCGTCTTACAAGACACCTTCATATATTCGGTCTGGGCCGGGGATTTAGCTCAGTGGTCTGCCTCTTGCTTCACAAGTGTAAGGACCTGAGTTCAATCCCCAGTACCAAAAAAAACATACGCAGTCTGCGTTGATAGAAGCATTGCTATGCAGGACATTACTGTATGTGCAATTATGTATAGAAATACTTTTAAATGATAAAAGATGTTGAAAAACAGGAAATTTTATGCAGTAAACTATGAAAAGTAGTTCTCTTAGGAGGTCCTTGGGTTGAAGCGAGGTGGAGATGAGAAAGACTTTCTGTTCCACTCATGGTACTTTGGTCATCTTTGCTTGTTGGGATTTGTTTGTTCTTTCTTTCTTTTTTTCTTTCTTTTTCTTCTTTCTTCTTTTGTGGTTGTTGTGGGTTTTTTGTTTTTATTTGGTTGTTAGTTTGTTTTTTGTAGTACTAGGGATTGAACAGAGGGCCTTCATGGTGAGCTACATCCTAGCCCTTTTTCTATTTTGGGATAAGGTCTCACTAAATTGCCAGAGCTGTGCTCCTGCCTCAACCTCCCAGAGTTCTGGGATTATAGGCATGTAGTACCATGCCTGGCATCTTTGCCTGATTTGAAATTGGAACATACTACTTTTATACTTTTACTTTTTAAATTTAATTGAAACAATTAGTGTCTTGTATCATAGTTTTCTATCCTTGCCTTTTAGCCCTGGAAAAAACTCGAACAGAATTATTTGACCTGAAAACCAAATATGATGAAGAAACTACTGCAAAGTAAGTCCCTGCTCGGTTGTACTCAGGTCGCCTCTGCTTCTGTTAATCAATGAGAGATTGGCCTGGCAGGTTTAGAAGGTGATTGGCTAGTGTGCCAGTATGACAACTCAGTGTCATTCCAGGGAATCAGTCACATCGGATCAGTCCCCCAAGTGTGACAACAAGCAAACCCTAATCTGTGCTGGCCGGTCCTTCTTTCCTTCATTATTATGAAGCCTGCTCAATGCCTCACTTTTCTCTGTAGAAAGTTTGGGAAAGCGATTAGAACAGACGCAACACCTGGGCCACTTCTTTGCGGAGCTTGGTGTGGGCAAACCACTCACGTTTTACCTAGGCCTCTTCTCTCCCGCTCGGGGCCCCTAGAAAAGGTTAAGCACATTCCTGTGCAGATGGATTGGTTCTTGTAACCCCTAACATGTGAACCTGTGCAGGGACACATTTTTGAGTAGGTGGTAACCCAAGGCTTGCTTCCTGCTTGACTTCTGTCAGGGGAAGTCAGCGTGATTCACTGTGAATACACTTAGTTCCACAAACCAGAGAGAGGACATAATATTGCCTTAAGTCACAAGAAAATGACAAAGTGACAGACCATTCCTAGCCATGCTTCCAAGCAAGCAGTACCAGTCTAGTGTTTGAAACACTTTTTCCTGTGCTGGAAGGCTCTTCTCCCCCCAGAAATCTGTGTGCCTGCTAACAGCAGCGCTCTGGGTGCCCCACTGGGCACTGGTGGAGGTGCTTCTGAGTATCCCTCCCGCTGCCTGCCTAGGGCTCCTCTAGTGGCAGGTGTGCTAGTGCTCAGCATTCCCACATCCCGTCTGCCATCCACTGCCCTCCAGACACTGAGTAGTTGGTCTCCTGACCCTTTACTCTGGGCCATTCAGTAGCCTGGCCTTGAGAGCCCAGCTACACAGTTTGATGATCAGAACCCACTTTGCCTGCAAACATAAAACTTCTGCACAGAGACCAGAGCATCCTGGTCAGTCCCTGTGCCTCTGGCTGACTTGTTGGACTATATAAGCACTGTGGGGGCCACCAAATCATTTACCCTCCTCTCTGTGTATGCTGAAATAGCACTTTCTGGATGCAGAATGAGCTCTGTCCAAGGTAGGGTAGAAGTTAAACTTTTGCTTTGAAATTTTGCGGCTCTGGTATTAAGTAAGTCCTTGTGTTCCTGGGACAGGGCTATCTGAGAACACAGCCACCATTGGCTGATGGGAGGGCACCTATGCCTTAACAGCCCCCTTACCCCCAAGCTGTAACCACACCAGAAACCACACCAACTGTCACAATGAAACTCGGTCATCTTGACATGCCTCAGGGTTCCTGTCCCCCTTGTTTTGCCACCATTTCATCTTTTTTTTTTTTTTTTAATTATTTCTGTTTGGTCTTTATTCTACCTGTAGGTAGCAATTCTTTTCTCAAATAATTTGGTCAGTAGATAATTCATTCATTACTGTCTTGGTCAGTTCTCTCTTCTCCATATCATTTTACTGGCTGATGTATTTCTCTGTGGCAATATATTTGATCATAACACTAGTTTTCATTACTTCTGTTAAACTATATCTCTTTGTAAAAGGCATCAGTACAACTTATGTATCTGTGATTTTTGTGTCTACATAATTGACCAGCGTTTGCTTTATTATGCATTTTAAAAATACTTTCATAATAGTAAGTGTTGGCAAAGATGCAAAAAAAAAAAGGAACTCTTATACCTGTAGATAACAATGTAAATTGGGGGCTGGAGATTGAGCTCAATGGTAGTGTGCCTACCCCACAAGCACAAAGTCCTGAGTTCGATCCCCAGTACTAAAAAAGAAAAAGTAAATTAGTACAGCTATTATGGAAAACAGTAGGAAGAGTCTTCATAAAAGTAAACACAGAACTACTATATGATCCTGTAGTCCTACTTCCAGGTATATATCCAAAGGAAGTGAGATAAATGTGTCCCTGTTCGCAACATTATTCATCATAACCCAAATCTGGAACATGTCCACCAGTGAATGAATGCATATAGAGAATATGGTATGTATACACAATGGAACACTAGTCAGCCTTGTAAAAAAAGGCAATTCTATAATTTGTGACAGTGTGTAGAAACCTGGAGGACATGCTGAGTGAATAAGCCAGGCCCAGAAAGACAAATACTGCATGATCATATGACAGTAAGAACATTCAATCTTGGGACTGTCACAAGATTGAGTTTAGTCAACCCAGGACCTCCAGAGGCTGGTCCTCCTGATCCCTAGACCACTCACAGAACTCTGGCCCATTGGCATCAGCTGGGAAGTGATGTTCACTGAAGTGGATTCAATGAGAAAAAGTTCTAGCCCATTCCCCTCCTACTGGTATGTGTTAAGGCCAAAGAGACTTTTCCCCAAAACCCAAACAATGAAATTTAACATGTTGCTATGTTTAGCTTCATAAACCTACAGTTAATGGAAACTATCATCCAGAAGTGTGGGGCCAGGGGCAATTATTCTGTTGTAAAGATGCATCGCGTGGGAATGATAGCTTTTGTCCCCTGACTGCTGACAGGGTTGTGGCCTCCTGTCCTCCCCAGTAGTGACTGGAGTGGTGAGCAGATCACATGGACCAAGAGATCAGCTCAGGAAAGTGGCAGGCAAGGCTCAGAGGTGGCAAGCATCCCCCAAGGCCATCCCCACTGTGTTATTTTCCCCTCCACCCACTCTGGAACCTGAGACTTCCATGGCTCAGCAGGCAGAAGGCCATTGTAGCTCTGTGTGACCACTTCTGGGATCCAAGAGACAGGGTGTGGTGCAATTAACTAGATGCCTGACAGGGTCTCTGCAAGAGGCAGGCAGCATTTCCACAGGGACATACAGAAGCTGGCCAGTGTCCTGAGGTACAGGAGGGAGGAGAGAAGCTATGAAGAGCAGCACAGTGACCCATGGCCAGTGCTAGCAGGACTATGCTATTGCCAGGCTAGAACCCAGAAGTTGAGGACCCTTGGGAGGAGCTGTAACTCCATGCCTCCCCCTCCCCACATCTGGTACTCCCTAAAGAAGGGGAAAGAAGAGAATCACCAAGAACCCTTTCTCAGAGACAGTGATGAAGGACTTGGGGGGCTTTTTGTTGCTCTTTTCTGAGTCAGGGTCTCACTGTGTTGTCCAGGCTAGTCTTGAATTCCTTAGCTCAAGCCCAATATCCCTGCCTCAGCCCACTGAGTAGCTCATACTGCATGTGCAGGCTACCACACCCAGCTGGGTCTTGGAACTGGAAGATGAGTTATGGTAAGGTAGCAGGAGGCTTATGAAAGGGCCAGGCCAGGCTCAGGCTGGTCTTGGGGAGGACCTGCCCAGAGTTCTGAAGGACTTGTCCACTGAGGCATGCACGTTTACGGGTGTGACTGGACTGGGCTTTGGCTTGAATCTAGATGGTATCAGAAAGGCTCTGGATACTAACAAGACTAACTGTGACTACTCCCCAGCCTATGTAATAATCATAGAAAATGTAGAAAATGCCTTGAGATGGTGGGTCTGGGGCTACTTTCTTAACTTTGGAAGCAGAGTTCTCAGTTTTAGTCATCTCATACAAGTACCCTTGCACCTGGCTCTCCCCTTAGGTTCTCAGAAAGGTTTGTCACCTAACTGTCTACCTCGGGTCCAACCTGTGTATGTTTAATTAGTCCAGTCATGTCTCTTCATAAATGGTCTTAAAACATTTCAGGACATTGTCTTTCTCCCTGATAAAAGGAATTCTCTATTCCTTGGTGACCAAGAATGTAGGTGGGCTTTGGAGATAGTACATCACTCAGTCCTGTCTGTGTGTCCTTGGCCAGGCCATGCCCTCCCCAGCTCACCTGTACAATGGACATAATTCCAATCGAGCCATTAGTTGGTCAGGAAGAGCTGCAAAGTGCACATTGTGAACAGCCCCATCGTGGTGAGAGCCAAAAAAGCATCCACACATGGTCCTGCTCACTCCGTGTGCTTGGCCCAGGTGGTGTCATCTTCCCGTGACCTTGAGGGACCCACACCGCCTGGCTATCCCTGTCCCCCATTTTGAGGAGAAGCCTGCCTACAGGTCAACAGTGCCAAGACTGGCCAAGACCCCTTGATGGTGCATAGTCATCACCTTGCATCAGCTGGGACAGCATGGGCTGGCTGGGATAGGGATGTCGGCAGTAAAGTTTTCCATGTGTAGGCTTGAAGCAAAATGTAATTAGCCTTTATGCACAGAACAAGGCCCCATTGATGAACACAGCTGGTCTTTGTTTTGTCCTGTCATTGAGAGTGGGAGGTAAAAGTGTTCCTCTTCATGTTTATTAATGCAGGATTCCTTAGACAAATGGCAAGCACAGTTTCATATTTGTTGGAACATCGGGGGGCTTGCCAAAACAGTTGTTGTGTAAGTGGATTGCAGGGTTGCAGATTAGAACTGTTTCTGTGTTAAATAAATGAATTATTTCTGCTTTTTTTTTTCTTTTTTAGTGAAAATATACCTCCTCCTTAGGTGGACACCCTGTGTCCATCTTCCCCTCTCAGCACATGGAGATGTAGCACTTAGAGGACTTGAACCTGGACAGTCCAACAGATCCCAGTGATGTGGATTTTGAAATTGACATAGTTCCCTGGGTGGCCAGGAGAACAGGCTTCCTTCAACAGGCAGCTCCCATTGCCCATGTCCTTGAACATGTATTATATAGCTGTTCACTTGCCCTTGGGTTTAAATTGCTCCCTCACACATCAACAGTAGAGTTGTCCTCAGAGCTAAGAGATTGAGCTTCTGTGCACAAGTGTAAGAGTTCCTTTTTTTTTTTTTTTTTTTTTTTTTTTTCTGTGCAATACTAAGGATTAAACCCAGAGCTTTTGCACTGAGCTATGTCTTCAGCTCTTTATACATACATACATATATATATTGAGACAGTCTTACTAAATTGTCATGGCTGAGCTTGAATTTTCTATGCTCCTGCCTTAACCTCAGCCTCCCAAAGTGCTGGGATTATAGGATCAGCCCAGCTAAGAATTCCCATTATTGTT